CTTAGAAGGGAGGCATGCATTTTAGGGCAGTGTGCCAGTGTATCTCAGATTCATTCCACATAGGTGTCCCTGGGTGGGGGTGAGGAAGAGGCAGTGGTTAATCCATCTGGGAGAGGATTAAAGACCCTTGCTGGTTGGGGGAGGGGAGCAGGGATTAAGAGAAACACGGAGTCTCTAGTGTTAGCACTACCATTTAAAACTGTGGCCCACAGAGCAGCCTGGGTGGTAAGGACTCAAAAAAAAAAAAAAAAAAAGGAAAAGAAACAAGTGATAGGAGCTGTAGTTGACAGGGGCAGTGGCTCTCAAACCTTGCAGCACATTGGAGTCAGTAGGGTGTTTGTGCAGGGGTTTGGGGGAGGAAGTAAAAATACCAGCGTCCAGCCCACCCCATCTTTAGGGGCAGGACTCAGGCATCACCAGTTCTCAGCTGCCTCCCAGGTGGCCAAGAGTTAGAGCAAAGGAGAGTCTGCAGGGAAGGTAGGGGGATGGCGCACAGGCCTGCAGGCCAAGCAGTCACGTTGGCAGTTTGAGTGGGAAAATGAAGGGTTACACAGCAGAGGGCTCAGTGTTTTCTGTTTGGGGAAGACAGAAAAGGTGATAGTGAGAAGGAAATAAAAAAAATATATCAATCCATTAGTAGGCGTCTGAGGTAGCTCATCCAATGGGCATAGGATGAGGAAAAAAATAAAACCTGTATGATCAAAGGACCTAATATGACTAAATATTTAGGTGAAGATTCTTAATTGGTTCCAAGTTATTTCTAACTTGCTATTTTAAAATCAACAAAGATAGGCTTGATAGAAGGATGGAGGAGAACACGTATTGTAAATATTTGTAGCTCTGGTCCGTAGCCTGTCCCCTGATGGTGGCAGGGCAGATATTAGAATCCCATCACTCCCATAACTCCCAGCTCGCACACACCTCCTCAGGACAGAACCTGCAGCCCGCATGGTCTGGGGTATAACAGGGGGCTATCGGGACAAGGAAACCCGAACATGTATTTAAATGAAGAAACGTGCATAGTCAGTTAGAAATAACCTGATAGAGTCCATTTGACGAGAGCTGCTCTCCCAGTGTTTTTTGTTTGTCTGTTTGTTTTGGTTTTGCTAGGGGAGGCTTTGTTCATGGTACTGCTCAATACATCTTATAATCAAAAGTAAAATTACCCATGTGTCTGCACTTGGCAGATTGTCCAGTTAGACTTTTCTGAAGCAGCACCTTTAATTTCAGGCCCTTCCTCGCTGTGCTGTCTCCTTGAGGAGTCCTGTTTCCCTGGTACATGAATGAAGGGCTGTCCGGGTCATAGTGGGCACATCCAAGGCTTTCGTTTGCCCCGAGGGATTATTTTTCTAAGATGGCTGTTTGATTATTCTCTGCTTTCAGCAGTTGGGGAGGGTCCACTTACTGAGGTTGGAGGTCACGGTCAACCCTGTCCCTTTCTGGATTCAGTCAGTCGGATCCTGTCCTGCCTCTTTCCAAGCCAGTCCCCACAGGCCACCGCACAGCTTATGCTGCATGAGAACGCCTTTCCTTAGCCAGGGACTGACACAGAATTTGAGTGTGTCCTGAAGATGAAGAGAAATAGGGTTATTTTATAAGTGAGCTCTAAAATTATCTTCCCTGCTCAGGCAAGGAAATGTAGTTTTAATATTTCTTATGAAAATTCCTCTTTGGATTGTTTTAGGCTCTATGCTTTCCTCTTCCCCACGAGGAGCCTAATCAAAGTTGAATAAACTCATTATAAAATGTTATAATTGTGTTTATACTTATAGGCATTAGGCTGAAATCACCAAGAGGTGTTCATCTTGGCATCTTCATAAACAGTCACATGGAAAGCCCTCAGCTCAGGGTAGGTAGTTACTCTAGTCATGTCCCATTCTGATGTCAAGAAAACATTTTCTGCAGCAACTAGAATCCCACAATGAAGAGAGGTGGCTGCAAAGAAGGTGAGCATCGGTGACGGTGACAGGGATGCGTTTCTGATGGTGCCGGGGGTAGTCCTGCTTTTCCAATGCAGCTTCTCCGCGATGCAGCTGCTGAAAGGATGCTCTCACAATGAGGGACCACTTCGAAAGCACTTCTTCCCTTCTTGGGTTCAGCAAGCATTTCAGAACTCGGAGCCCTTGTGTGGTGCTGGGAGAGCAAAGGCGAAGAGAAGGTTTCAAACATTTCCTTCATGCTCCCTAAAGACGACCTAGAACACTCTCTGGCTACATACAGCCACTGAGGATCCCAGGCTAGGAAACCGCACGGACTGCAAGGAGTAGAACTGTGTTTCGGATACTTGGGCACTTGGGCCAAGTCCCCTTCCCATGTCATTCTCAATTCCCTGATGTATTATAAAAGGAATGGCTCAACGGTTACAAAAGGAATCCATATGCAAATCTCTCAGTGATTACTAAGTGAGTGAATAATGAGTGAATTTAGTGAACTGTGATCCTCCAACTGGTCTGGGTTATCAGTGTGAACTTAGCAGAGGAAACTGTCTGAATCTGACGTGGTTTTTATCACTGAACAGAGGATGGCAGAAATCCTTACAGAAACATCATGTTTAATGGCATCATCCTGTCCTCTGCAATCAGTGGAAAATAGGTTTAGTTTTTGACAACTAACTAGATGGATCCACAGATGTGCTTCCTATTTTAGCAACTTCCATATCTAACTGGGAAACACAAAGTAAAAACTCTTCATATTGAAGTTGTTGTCCGGACACAGAAAAGGAGAAATACAGCCTGTTTTTTAAGAATCTCTTCAGTTGAAAGTTCCTCTAGATGTCAGTATTACATAGGGAAATGAAAGTATAAAAGACCGAGGCAATGGATAAAGACCTTACATTATTTAAATGGTAAAACATGTGATATATAATTGGTGGAAAAACCAACCTCATTTGGAAGTTGGTTGCTTATGTTCCTCAGGATCGAATGGCAGCTTCTCCTGTGACTCTAGTCAGGCTGCTGGACGCAAAGAACGCTAGGCCAGTTTGTGGACATTTGCCACAGACACTATGGACAGCCTTAGAGGCAAATGCTGATCCATCATCACTCCAGTCTTACAACCAAATTCTGAATTTTACACGTGAATGGATTGAAATGGACTGAAACACAATGGTTGTCATTACAGAGTCCACTTAGGCATTGACCATCATGTTCCTGCCATCCAGAACAAACCCAGAAGCACATGGGCTATCCACCAGGAGTTTTCATTTTGAAAGAGAAGCATTTGAAGGCACAGTTATAAAGTAGCTTAAGAGAAATTTTTTAAACTATCCCTTTTTACTAATTTGGACATATTTTCAAAATTAGACTTAAATTCTCTCTCTTGCCTCTCTCCCATGTTAATTCTAATCTTTTGACCAATAAATATTTCTTCACTCTACTAATTTGTTTTTATTTATACCCTTCTCTCTTAATCTTATTTTTATCTCCAGTAGTGTTGGCTGTGTGGTGGATATTCAATAAATATTAACGGTATCTACCTAGACAATTTAGTAGTTGAGAACACAGATTGAGTAAATAACTGAGTTAGAATCCTGGTTATACCATTTCTGGACTATGTAACCCTGGGGAATTACCCAACTTCATTATACAATAAAGTTAATAGTATCTATCCCAAAGGTTGCTATGAGGACTGACTAAGCTAATAATGTAACAAGTGTAGAAAAGCACCTGGTATGCAGTCAGCGCTTGGTATATATTAGTCACCACTGTCATCATTATTATCACTATATCTCAGTCTCTGGGGTAAACACCAGGAATTCAAAGATACACCAGTCACCAGTCTTTTTGCCCATTTGAGGCAAAAAGGAAAAAAAAGTTTAATAAAATGTTGCAAGAGATACCAGGCTTTCGTGTGTGTGTGTGTGTGTGTGTGTGTGTGTGTGTGTGTGTGTGTGTAGGCACGCGCTGAGTGCTGTGCAAGCTGAAGGGCATTTTTCATGCAAAGAAAGAACTATGCATCCATCACCCCTACACTTTGACTTAAAAGAGAAAGTTACAACTTAGGCTGCAATGTCTAACTTTGTTTTAGAACAGATTTACTGAGCACGCCCCTGTGTTTCAAGGTCCCTGTCAGAAAGATGGAAGTGCTCGACCTATGGAGTTGCCCTCTGGATTGTTTAAAAGCGCATTTGCAGTTTGTCTTGATGTCTGTGAGCTGCATTTACACGGCGTTTCATGCAGTCAAGTCACCCTGAGGCAAAGCTTGCCTCTTCCCAAAGGAAAAAGACTGGTTCTTTGGATATCTGTACAACTTCATTAATTTATAATGTATAACTTTAGAATTTGGGATAATTTGGGTGGATTGGTTTACCTTTTATGTGGTATTTAAAAAGGGTTTGCTAAGCTAATTCAGAGAAGCCGGGACTGTGAGAAGAATGTTTATCTGCTTAGGAAAAGGGCCATCTGTTCTAAGCGATGTAAAAGCTCCATTTATAAAAGCTTACTTTAGTCTTCTACTTTCTGGTTTACAAAACCAATCACATAGGTCCTCTCATTTTTTATTTGATTGAAATATGAACCACATCAAGACAATATAAACAGAGGTCGAGGGTGACTTGAATATTATCAATATCCTTTAATCTGTTCACAAAATTGGCCTTCTTCTATAAACAGTGCTAGAGTTTTACAGGATTTCTTTTAAAATAAGGAGTTCATTTGTCTTCTAATACTGTAGTCTATATAGAGTTTCATTAATTCAGACTGTTCTGCCCTCTAAATACTATTAATTTTTTCCTGTGTTTTAATCTCATAATATATGGTTCTCAATCTGGGGTGATTTCACCCCCAGGGGACATTTAGCAATTTCTAGAGACATTTTGAATGTTGCAACTGGGAGGAAGGATACTATTGGCATGTGGTGTAGAAGCCAGAGATGCTGCTGAATGTCCTCAAATGCTCATGGCATTCCCCACAATGAATTATCCAGCCCACGTGTCAGTACTGCTGAGGCTGAGAAACCCTGATATGATGTGTAACCTCCATGACTCAATTGTGTATCCACAGGCTAAGGAGAAGGTGTGGTCATATCCCAACCTGAAAGAAATGGCACCTGTCAAAGGCAAGAGGACATTGGCCCCCACAGGTAACAGCTTTAGAAGACCAGATATCTATGGATAAAGAAAGTTCTGTTACAAAAGTCAGGTTGCTGTTGTTCTTATTTAGAGGAAGTTACACATTCCTAAAGCCCCATGTTGGGAGAAGTGCTGCTTGAATACCTTTATTTGATTGGCTTTGGGTACTAGTTAGCAACTAGAAAATCTTGGGGAACCCAATTGTTAGTTAGTTGGTCATATTCACGTATACTTTGCTTTTCAAAAACTCGTATCTGCTGATAAAGACAAAGCTGAATAGGGATGCCATTATATAAAGACAAAATGATATTGATCATACACATCCTCCATTAAAGTATTTGTGTCCTGTGGTGGCTTTTAGAGAGATCTTCTCAGAAGAATGAGCCTTCCTCTGACAAAGAAAAGGTTAAAAAACTCCACAAGGAAAATGCTGAGAAGACCAATGCCTCTCTAGTTCAGAGAAGTTTGTCCACATTTTATGCAAAAAGACCACAAGACAAGATAGAAGATTTTGCTCTAAGAAAGTCCATAGAACCAAGAGAAAATACAGGTGGAAGAGACATTTTATACACAGAGAGACTGTGTCGACAAGCACAGAACAGTGCTGGAGATGATAAGCAAGCCACTGTGGATAAAAGTGAATGTCTAGTGTTCAAAAGGGAGGAAAATGGGCTTCATTCTAAGGAAGATACTAATGAAAGAGACCCTGAGAAAAAAGGGGGATCATCTATTGCAAGTGAGACAGTGATGGACAAGTGTTCAAATATAAAGCAAAGTGTTGATAAAACTAATGGTGATCAGTTCTGTGAAAGGTAGGGGTAAAAACATTATACATCTACATTGTTGTTCTTTATAGATATACAAGAGGCCCGGTGCACAAAAATTTGTGCACTCAGGTTGGGTCCCTCTGCCCAGCCTGTGCTCTCTCACAGTCTGGGTCCCCTCGGGGGATGTCCACCTGCTGGCTTAGGCTCACTCCCCCCGGGGAGTGGGCCTAAACTGGCAGTCAGACATCCCTCTGGCAGCCTGGAAGCCCTCGGGGGATGTCCACTTGCCAGCGGGGAGCAGGCCTAAGCTGCAGTCAGACATCCTTAGCGCTGCTGAGGAGGCGGGAGAGGCTCTTGCCATCACCGCTGTGCTGGCAGCCGTCAGCCTGGCTTGTGGCTGAGCAGAACTCCCCCTGTGGGAGCACACTGACCACCAGGGGGCAGCTCCTGCATTGAGAATCTGCCCCCTGGTGGTCAGTGTGTGTCATAGTGACCGGTCAGATGGTTGGACACTTAGCATATTAGCCTTTTATATATATAGATGTGCCATTGCAATTTATGGCCATAGCAAAAGGATAGCTGAAGTAAGTTTAAAGCAATGGTTTAGAAACCAGTATTCACCTGTGTAGATATTTTTTGCCATGTTTTCTTTCCATTACTTTTTCTTCATGCCTGTAACATGTTCATGCATTGTATTATTTTCTAAGCCTACTACCAATGGAAAGACAGAATAATGATTAATAGTACTCACATCAATCAATATTTTTTAAAGATCAAGTAAAATTTTCTTATTTTTAGCAATATAGAGCACATCCTTCCTAAGATCAAGAATTGAATAAGGATCAGATTTATTTGTAAGTTAAATCTAATTCTTCAAAAGTTTACCTACCCATTTAAGCTTAAGAAGTTGCCTATTTCCCTCCAAATATTGAGAGGATTGAGTAATAAATAGATTACTGCATCATTCTTCACCTGCAAAGTTTCGCAAATAAATGCAGGTCATTATGTAGCCAATTAATTATCCTACGTTATGTTGACCCACAGATCTATTTGGAACAAAAAGAATGCAAACATCTGTGGTCTTTTTTTTTCTAAATTGGTTTAAGATATAATTCTTATTTCATTTTAAACACTGTATTTGAAATCTAATCATGGAGAGGTCTAATTTTCCAAGAATTAAACATAAACAGTTATGTTTACTAAGAAAGTCCATTGCTGGGAAGGTGTGCTTCCTAAGATCTGGAGCTGTTGCAAACTGAAATTAGGTCAATTCCTTCACCAAGAAAGGCTTACTCTCATTGCTGTGAAAGTCCACAAAGATTATTACTTCTTTTATTATGCTTTAATTTAGTCATTTCTCTCTTTTATAAAGGAAGGAAGTGAAAAAGTGAAGATCAAGTTAATTATGTATTCATGAAATGACTGTTTTTGTAAAGGGTCAATGGAATAACTTGGGGTCCCAATGAAGTCATTGGGGAGATTCTCTGGGATCCTAATTGCCTACACCCATCATTCTGGCACTCAGATTTGATGGGGAAGCATACTGCTCCATTTTATCCCCAAACACTGACATCACAGCCTCTCTGTCACAAAGCTTAGGTCTCTTCACCAAAACACCACTCTGAGGAAACTTTAGTTCTAAGAAATTTGACCACCTAAACGTTTTCTTCCCAAAACTTTGAGAGTTGCAGCTGAGGTTTATTTTCCAGGTGTGTGTCAGCAGTGTAAAAGCCATCTCCACAGCACGAATCCTCAGAAAATCAGCACTAGGACCCATTTTCCAAAGCGCTGAGCAGACAGGGCATGCTGGCAGTAGTAAGCAGAGAGTGGTGGAGGAGCGTGTCAGCAAAGAGGACAACAGAAAGAGCAGAGTAGATGTTGCGGGACAGGTGAAGGATGCACACTGAGAAGGACACAGGAAACCAGACCAGTCCAGGGGAACTTAAAAGGCCAAACCTCTGGAATCTACTGGAATTAAGACCTCCAGACAGCAAGATCTGGTGACTCCACTGGGTAGGAAACAGCTTTTGTTTCAACCTCTAAAGCTTCTTAACTTTTTCAGCAAGCATTTCAGACTAAATTTAACTTATCCCAACAGCCTGAAGAAGACATTAGGCTGTGTTGATGCCATTTATGTTTGTAACTCTACCACTTTTTCTAGTCTGAAGAGAAGAATGCCACTGAGAGAATTTTTTTCATGACTTCATTTTTCTGCATATTTATGGTGTAAGAGGTGAATGTCCATTTCAAATCAGATCCCCAGAGACTTATATTACCTCAATTAAAAATATTAACACTTGGAAAAGTGCCTAACACAAGATAAATGCGTAAGAATTATTTGTTGAATACATGTAAATATTTGAAAGCAAAGTTATTATCTATTTACCTCTTTTGTATCTTTTGTATGCATGTAAGCAGGTGTGTGCAATAGATGAATAAATGGGGAAATGAATAGGTTTGTGGCAAGCAAGCTGTAACAGCAGCAATCATGGAAAAGTGAAAAGAATATTGGGAAAATGTAATTTTGTATTTCAGAATCAATCTTGAGGTGGACTAGAGTTTAAACCCTTAGGCTAGAAGGTAGAAAGCAGGAGAAATTTGAGAGCTGTGGAATATATACTTAGCCAGTTTTACTGGGCATTTTATTTCCAGCCAGAAAAAACTCATATTTGTGCCTTAAATGTCTTAAATAAAGGCTAAAATATTTTGGAAAGTAATATGTAATAATCTCAAATATTTTAATGACATAAAGGAACTTTTCACTTTTTTCTCCCTGCTTTAATTAAAATAATGGACTAGATTTGTGGTACTTAAAAATATGGAACAAACAATATCTCATGTTTGAACTTAAATGACCATAGGCTTGGAAGTCTAACCTATTTGGACTGTACTGTGGTTGGAGATTTTCAACTATGTTGATATTTCTAAAAGTTGTCCTGAAGATGGTATGAACCAGAGGTTAGTGGTCCTGACATTCTTTCTCAAAGATGTCAGGTGTCACCTTCATGAATCACAGATCATAATATGCAATGAAAAGTTATACTCCCTGGATCATTAGGAATAAAACAGATGGCCTGCTGTATTTTATTATTAAATGAGCAAAATTTCACTCTGAGGCCCAATGCTTGGTGCTATAAAGAGTCTGACTGCTTAACAGATGGCCCTCCTTTCCCTCTCACCTTCTAGATGACGGCCCGGCTCCTCCCGCACCCTTTCATCACCGGATTGTAACAGCCAAACAGACGGCAGTCAACAGTCTCTATACTGTGAGCAGAACAGAAATTTTAGGAGGGTAAGTCATGCTCTATCTTAACACACTTTCAACAACAAAAAAGAGAACTTTCAAAGATCCGGAGGGTTTCTAAATATTTGCCAGTCTGGACCTGAGAATCAGAAATGTCATCAACAAACATTTTAAGAGATTTTAAGCATCACTGATGCCAGAGAGGTAGATGTGGGGGACTAAATTCCACATTAATTATCCACTTTGCTTCCCGTGTTGCATTGTCTGAGAGGAGAGCGCCACTGTGAGTCACCAGAAGGTCGAGAAGCTGTCCAAAGTGTGAAAACTGAGAAACAAACTGTGGAAATGAGTGAACACTGTGTATTTCTTGCAGCGTGTGTTAAATCATTTTGATCCTTGCTGTTGGTTTTCCATTTATGTTGTATTGTATTAATTACTCTTCTCCATTTCAATCAATTACTTTCTTCACTGAATAACTTGTTGGAAGGACATCTAATTGCACAGTCTCTTCCTGAAGAAGAGAGAATGGAGTCCATCGGGGACCCGCGATCATTACTCTTTCCTTCCTCTTCTACTTCAGTCACAATCCCCTATGATATCTTGTTATTTAAAGCCTAAATTCTAAAATTTACTACCATTAACATATCTATATAAAATAAGAAGAGGAAAATGGAAAATTTGTACAAGTACATACAAAATTTACTTAACTGCACACTGGAAAATATCCATGGCTACTATAATGCATGTTACTGTGACTGGCCATTGGGGGTATGGTTGACATTTGTAAAGTCCCTTCTTGCTCTTCCCGTTCTGTTTGTTTGTTTTTTCCCTCTACCACACAGAACCACCTGAACTTTTCCTCCTCAGCAGCCTGTTCCTGGAGAACTCCCCTCGGGACTGTGAGGATGGGCTGAGGGAGGAGCAGGGGTTCTGAAACACAAGTAGGTGCCATGGAGCCTGCAGCAGCTTGCCTAGGTCTTCAGTGGCAAGCTAGCAACTGTTTCTCTAAAGGAGAGGAATTATTTGGCAGAAGAATCTTTGAAACAATCCCCAGGGCTGTGTTCCTGGTGAAAGCTGTCAATGGCTCCTTGAGAAGTTCATTGGATCTTCTTGGTTGTACTGCAACCCACACCAGCTGCTGGTCATCTACTGTCTGGGCTCCACTCAAAACTGGCTGCCAGACCTCACTTGGCAAATAAGTTAGAGGACCAAAGTCAAGTGTGTATTGTTGCCTCAAAGTGCAAAGAGATAATCAATGGCTGTATCTCCTTTTCGGTAAATAGAGTAAATAGAGGTTCCAGATGCAGAAATTTATTTTTCACTTTTAGCAAAGGATCACTGGGCACCGCCCCCCTCTGCCCCCCCCCCCCCCCGCCAATGCCGGCGGTGGCAGGCTCCTGAATTTTCCTGGGGTTCATCTCCCAACCTGTGGCTTCAAGGGTATTTATAATACCAACTCAGCATATTCAGCTAGCATGAGTTTATCAGTGTGGTGGGCCAGCAGGAATACTGGGAGGCGGCCTCACCATTCAAGGCACTTGCAGAATAAATCATGTGAAAGTTGAAGTAGTTCTGAGGTTAAAAGTGATGTGGCACCTCTGCTGAGCCAGGCAGTCCTGGGGGCTTTTGCTGGGGAAGGAGAAAAAAAAATTTCCTAATCAGCAGCCACTTAGAATTCAAGTTATCACTTTGCTGTTTATGGACCCATCTGCTTCTGCCCTGGGTTGCGTAGCTGAGCTGCATGGGGTGTGGTGGTAGTCATCACCCTCCCTCTTTCGGTTGTTGCCAAGACCCTCACCTCTGCAGGCCTCTAAGAGTGCAGTGACATTAGGCTCCCAATGCTGTTAGGGAAGTTTCCTTGTGGCCCCTGCTGTGAGAGCCATTATTGCACAGGCAGGCACTGGGGTTCTGTCTGTTTTACTAAATCAGGAATCACAGCAAGCAAGTCAGACTGGAAAATTGTTCATGAGGGTGCATTTCTGTCTGTGATTACCTTTGTAAGAAGCTGTCTTACAAAGTGTATATACATTTATCTGGTATATCCAAGCTAAAGTGTCAAAAAGCTCAGAGATGCTGCCCTGGCTGGCGTGGCTCAGTAGTTGAGCATCAACCTATGAACCAGGAGGTCATGGTTCGATTACTGATCAGGGCACATGCCTAGGTTGTGTGCTTGATCATCCCCAGTAGGGGGCATGCAGGAAGCAGCCAATCATTGATTCTCTCTCATCATTGATGTTTCTCTCTCCCTCTCCCTTCCTCTATGAAATAAATGAAAATATACATTTTAAAAAAGCTCAGAGATGATTATGTATATGTGTTTATATGTAATATTGTTATTACTTATTTATTTATATGCATTTCCAAAAACAACGATGTGCCTTTTCACAACTTGTATTGTTCACATACTTACAAAGCCTAGCTTATTATATTTCTACTAGAGGCCTGGTGCATGAAATTCGTGCACAGGTGGGGTCCCTAGGTCTGGCCGGGGATCAGGACCTATCGGGGCCATCTTGCCCAGTCCCTTTTGGGGCAGGGCTGGACCGGGCCTGCCGACTGCTGGACAGGGCCTGCGGGACAAGGGGAGGTACCACAGAAGGTTTGCCAGCTGGGGGTAGGGACTGGGGGAGGTGTGAGAGCACACTGACCACCAGGGGGAAGCTCCTACTTTGAGCATCTGCCCCCTGGTGGTCAGTGCGTGTCATAGCGACTGGTCGACCAGTCGTTCTGGTCATTTGGTTGTAATAGTTGCTTAGGCTTTTATATATATAGATGTATTCAGAACAATTCTAATTTCTTCATAACAGAGGTTCTCAAATTTTAGGGTGCATATGAATTACTCAAGAAATGTTGTGAAATGCATATTCTGGGGCCTCATCCCCGATTCCTGTTTCAGTAGGTCTGGGGTAGAGCTGGGAAACATGTATTTCTACCCCCAGAAGATTCTAATCCAGTGACCCACAGACCACCCCTTGACACTATTGTAGAAGTTTATTGGCTACAGTAGATGCACTAACAGGTTTGCTCATTCAAACTCAAAAGGAGAAATGCCTGGGGCAACTGCCTCATCTACTTGGCAGTGACTAAAGCCAGATTCTGGTGGGGACAGAGCCCCAAGCTGCACCTTGTCCTCTTCTTTGGCAGGGGGCGCTTTGGCCAGGTTCACAAGTGTGAAGAGAAAGCAACAGGTCTGAAGCTGGCCGCCAAGATCATCAAGACCAGAGGCCTGAAGGATAAGGTAAAGGCTGTGCCATGTGGGTGTTTCCTTACTGTTACCCTCACTTCACTGAGTGCCTGTCCCTCTTCTCAGGATGAAGTGAAGAATGAGATCACCGTCATGAACCAGCTGGATCACGTGAACCTCATTCAGCTCTACGATGCCTTCGAGTCTAAGAATGACATCGTCCTGGTCATGGAGTAGTATGTGTTCCCTTCTGCTCCCTCTTCCACTCTCCTGCAAAGCTGTGTACACGTGTGGAGAGAGACCCACAGCACCTGTGACCATGGTGCTCTGTCCCATCACAGAAGTTGCTAGATCCATGCTTGATGCTTGGTGTACCACTGGTTCTGATAATCTCATCAGTTTCAGAAAGGACATTACTTAGAAATAGCTATTTCCATATATGATTTGATTAATAAGAAGTAGAAAAGCAACATAGATCTAACGTTATATGTAAGCTATACTGTAACAAATCCAGCTTAAATATTATTCTGGTTGACTTGGAGGAAAGTGATGTTTGAACTACATTTTACTGTCAACCTAATCACTAATATAAAGTTCATGTCAAACTCTTAATAATTAGGGCTAAGAAATTTCCATTTAAAATCAGCTTTCTAAACTTAGTGTTTAGTTAGAAAGTGAATCAGTATTGTGATTCAGTTCATTTTCTCCTCATTTTGGATTTTCTTTATCATTGTTTAATAAGGAACTTTGAATACTAAATATTTATCATCAGCCATATAGATGCACTTTATCACTGATATTAGTCTGAGGAGACCCTGTCTGACCCTCAGTTGGTGTTTAGAATTTCTCTCCCTGCCTTCTTAGAGGCCTCTTTATTTTCCATGTCTGTTAGAAAATGGTAGATGTGGACTTACTCCAGAGCGGCAACCACTGCATGAAAGGGAGTTTGCGACTTTGTAAAACTGATGGTAGGTAAGACAAAGGCATTCAACCTAAGAGTCATCTAACTGAGATAGCAAAGAAGGCAGAGAAAGAACTGTGTGCACACCGTTATTGGAAGAGCTAGAGAAGCTTAAACACCAACCTGTTGCAAGGAAAACATGTTCATGAAGGAATCAAGACTCAGGACTTCACTCCTCTCCCTTCTGCAGTGTGGACGGAGGCGAGCTATTTGATCGGATCATTGACAACAACTACAATCTGACTGAGTTGGACACCATCCTGTTCATCAAGCAGATATGTGAGGGAATACGACACATGCATCAGATGTACATTCTCCATCTGGACCTGAAGGTAGAACATGTTTTGTATTCTGACCTTTCCCCTCGTGTGAATCAGAGGGCCCTGTCAGATACTATATACCAGCTTGGGACACTGAGACTGTGACTTGGTACATATTAAGTAATTAATAAAAATCCAGATTCTTAACCTTACCTTTCCATTTCCAACTTCTGTCACCCACTAATATTTGCATTCTTCTTCTTTAGAGACTACTATTTAGATTCTTGCAACTTGCCTGTGTTAAAGGAATCTACATGGAGATCATTTCTCTAAAAGTTTAGAATTAAAACCACCACCACCATCACCAACATGGTGCCCTTGTTGTGTCCCTGTCATTATGTGTTAAGTAGGTGGGAGGATTTTACTAGGTCAACATACCCTTGTGGTAGCCAAGCTTTCAGCTCTCCAGGAGTCCCCAGCATTCTTCTGAAACTCACTCAGGCAACTCTGGACTTTAGGGCTTTGTTTTTCGACGGGCATGCTAGAGCACTGAGGAGAAACCAATGGCAGGATGGATACAGGGCAGCCAGAAAAGTAGTGAGAAAATGCTGGAATTGCTGGAAAGTTTCTGTAAGCAGTGGGAATTCAAGATGCCTTCCTTTCTTCTCTTATTTGATGACCCTTCCATTTTTGCTTTTGTTTTTATTAATATTTTTTTTCCAAAAGCAGAGTGGGGAGAGGCAAAAAGGGATGGGTGTGATGAATCCAGTGGGTCTAAAGCAGTGTTTTTTTTATTGTTTTATTGCTTACAGTATTACAAAGGGTATTACATATGTGTCCTTTTTTTCCCCCGCCCTTGACTGATTTCAGAGAGAGGAAGGAAAAGGGAGAGAGATAGAAACATCAATGATGAGAGAGAATCATTGGTCGGCTGCCTCCTGCATGCATGTGCCCTCCCTGGGAATCGAACTGTGACCTCCTAGTTCATAGGTTGATGCTCAACCACTGAGCAACACTGTCCAGGCAATGACCCTTCCCTTTTGATTTCTCTCCCATTATGAAGTCCCCAGGTTGTACCCAGTTACAACCAATGAAAGACCCAGGGCCAATAATTGACCAGCTCTGATATTTCGGCTGAGCATCATGAAATGTATGTTCTGTGTGGCACATTTTCTCATTGCCCTATTTACACAGCTTGGCAGTGAGATAAAGTATTCTATGTAACATACCATCTATGGTAAGTCATCAGGGGTTGTAGAAGTAAATACACTTAACTTCCTTAAATAGTTTCCCATGGGCCTCTCTCCTACAACTTGTCTTCCCTCACTGTTTTGATTTATGTGCTCTGCCTCTCCCATTCACAGGGCAGGAGTAAGTGGTATAAAATGGCAAAGTCAAAGGTTAAAAATCATTAGCAAAGCCCTTGGCTATGAGCTGAGTTTGAGAATGCGTATTTTCATGGAGCATTTCAATGAGTATGGATATTCTGCAGATATCCCTAAAGGGCTTTGATTGGCAACTGGAACTAGGACCCGACCTATCATAAGTCAGACAACTCCATATGTGGCTCCATAATGTTGACTGAGGTCTGGCAGTGAGTAACTTTGGCTATAACTTGTATGTAAAGATATTAATAAAGGCAGCAGCTGGACAGGCCATTAAGGACCAGTCATCCTTTCAGAAAGCTCCTTGGAAGGAAAAGGGCCAAAAATATTGAGTGCTTGTCATGTGTAGAGGAGCTTAGAGGTGACATAAGAATGCTCTCCTTTATATTTTTCTCTGTTTTACAAATCTTATTCAATGAATATGCTTTAATTCTATAATTAGAAAAAAATAACTTTTCAAGTGCCCTTGAAACTGCTTCTTTACATTCTGCAAACAATTCTTTTTGTGTCATAGTTGTCTGACAACTGGATAGCTTTATACATGATTGATCAGTTATTTAAGCATAAAACCAAATGTTCTTATATGGTACCCACTTCTCTATAGTTTTTTCTCAGAAACATCTGTTTTAGAGGTATTTTAGAAAAGATCTTCCAAAGACATTATACCTACCCAAATGGACTATGTTATTTCATAAAGTGTTTTCTGAGTTTCTGACCTCATCTGAACCTCCTCTTCACCCAGACAGGATCCCACCTAAAGGATGGGACATGGGATCCTAAGGATTCAATTACTCAGCTCATGCCCCGCCTCCTCCCCGCAGCAATCAGGGAAGAGTTGGGATGGATTAGAGCTCGAGAATCCAGGCAATTTGTTGAAAATTTTCTCTTTTATGGATAACCTTAACTTTAAATTAAATCTCTCATATTTCTCTGACCTAAGCTTTTCTGTCCTAACAAATGTAGGTACAAGTGTAAGACATTCTGTAAACGGTTATAGTGCTACTATCTATGTTTCTCCCTCTTCACCCCAAGACTGTCGGATTAGCAGGGCAAAGTCTTCCCAGAGTCAAACTCCAAGGGAACACTTAGTCAAGGGTGTTAGGCATTGAGACCTAACTCAGCAAAACTTTGGAATTACAGAGAATGAAGAATGAAATGGGGGAAGCCTTCCTTTGACACATGACTTTCTCATATACCAAAACATAAAGGAAAATCTGGAGGTCGGAGCATTCACATTCTACTGCATATTCAGTGTGGCTGTTCAAATGAATCAGGCCATTTCTCTTAGAACTCATAAATCCTTGGGTAAAATATTCCTCCAAGAAGGGAAATTCATACTTCATAATTTTAGGGGGGCAGATGTCAGGTCTGAGACAGCCCCCACAGTGCATTTGGAAAGTACTGAAGCAGTCCCCTTTTCCTTCCCTCATGGAGGCCTCCTGCCTGAACTCACACATCATGGTAAACTGCAGGAGCAGGGGGAGAACAGGCGGGGTAATGCAAGTTTGGCATGGTACCCAAAACCTCGTCTACCACATAATTAAAGGAGAAAATACCCACACAGACAAGCCAGCCCCAAAGTGAAAGGCCTGCTATGTTTTTCCTGAGCATCGTTGTATTTTTAGTCGTGGTTCAAGGACAATTTGAGTGAATGATGGTTGTTTTCATTGCTAATGTGTCTCTTTCTCCTGGCAGCCTGAGAATATCCTGTGTGTGAATCGGGATACTAAACAAATAAAAATTATTGATTTTGGATTGGCCAGAAGGTACGTCTATTTGAACATAGGTGTGTGAATGGAGTTAGGGAGCACGATGAGTGCTCTTTCTTTGTAAAGACAAATCTGATAGATATATCCCTTGGCTTCATACCCTTATTTAGATTTAACTTAACAAAAATTATGTTTCAGCTTTACCTTGCTGACTTCAGGATTTGAAATTTTAGAAGTTTTTACAGTGCATGTAAGAAAAAGATAAACAATGAAAACTCAATACAGTGAAGTTATTAAATTTGAAAACATTAATTTAGAATTTGTAAGAGTTTGTCTTAGTCTTTTATATTTGTTCCATCTGTAATGAGATTTACTTTTTAAAAAGTCATAGTCTAAACAAGATTGCAAAGGGTTCTGGCACATTTAAGGTTCTGAAGGGAACAAAGAATTTACATGCACTTCAACACATTAACAATAAATATAAAATAGGTGTTGTAAATTATTGCATTTAATGTATCCTATATAATAAAAGCCTAATATGCTAAGTGTTCAGTTGTCCAGTCATTCGTTCAATCAATCAAAGCGCAATATGCTAATGATATGCTAAGGCCGCTCAACCGCTCACTATGATGTGCACTGACAACCAGGGGGCAGATGCTCTGACCGGTAGGTTAGCTTGCTGCTGGGGTTCAGCCAATCGGGACTGAGGGAGATGGGCTGGACATGCCATGGAGCCCTCCCGAGGTCCCTCCCTGGCTGGTCAACCTCCTGCGTCCCTCCCTGGCCCCATGTATCGGTGGGGTCCCTTGGTCTGACCTGTGTCCTCTCGCAATCCGGGACCCCTCGGGGGATGTCGGAGAGCCAGTTTTGGCCCCATCCCTCAGGCCAGGCTGAGGGACCTTATTGGTGCACAGGCTTCTAGTTAATTAATAAGGGTTTATTCAATCCATCTATGTGTCAAGAATCATATAAGTTTTTATTTGGTCATATTCTATAATTCAGATGTTCGAATTATTCTGAGTGGCTTTTCTCATAACTGTTTTAGATTATTAGATTATTAAGGTTTTATTGTATGAATTATGACTTAAAACTCTTAGAACTTCTTCACAAGTTTTTGACACTTTAAAGTGATTTCCTTTAAAGTTTATTTATTCTAAATTTGTTGTATGGCTGAAGTCATTTCATTTATAGACTGCATCTGTTCAATTTCCATGATCTTTGATTACCACTCTCCATCTCTCCACTTGTCTTCTAAATTTCAGATACAAACCCAGAGAGAAGCTGAAGGTGAACTTTGGAACCCCAGAGTTTCTTGCCCCTGAAGTCGTGAACTATGATTTTGTTTCCTTTCCCACTGACATGTGGAGCGTGGGGGTCATCGCCTATATGCTGTAAGCAGATCACCAATCTCCCTGACACTTATTCTCAATTATCATGCATATTCTATGAGGTTTTGCTATTTTGAATGAAAGCTCTAATTTAGCTATTTTAAAAATAAATAACACCATGCCATAGTCAACTACTTTCTAGGCTCTGTTGCATGCTGTGGGTGAAAGGAGTAAATTCCTTCCCTGAACATCATCTGAAAAGTAACTGTATGTCTTCTTCATTGGTCATTTCAACTCTTAGGACACCACCCAATGCCTTAAAAATAATTTTTTAAAAAAACCCTTACTCCCAAGAGGTGACACTCCCCATGTTTGCCGTGTGTGTGTGTGACAGGCCATGGGTTGGGGGAGGTAAAAAAGTATATTTTTATGTTTAAATTATGTTTAAATATTAGGTTGTTTGCTTTATTTCATCTTTAAATGATAGACCCACAAAAAGCAATCTATTTATAAGGCTTTGAAGCGGTTGAAAAAAATACTCACTCTGGACCCTGTGTCTTGTAGACTTAGTGGTTTGTCCCCCTTCCTGGGTGATAATGATGCTGAGACCCTGAACAACATCCTGGCCTGCAGGTGGGACTTAGAGGAGGAAGAATTTCAAAACATCTCAGAAGAGGCCAAGGAGTTCATCTCCAAGCTTCTCATTAAGGAGAAAAGGTAACCCCAGTTCATCCAGGGCTCTGGAAGAAGTTGGGGCTGTAGAGTAGCAGTATGTCACCAGGACTATTAGAATTAATGATAGATAACTACTGAATTCCCTTTGTGAAGTTGCTGATGCCTGCACCAAGTTGTAAATAGGAAACGTTGATGCTCTTGACCCAATTTACTGAAATATGGGACTGCTTTGGTCATGAGGTTTGAGTGGAGCTGCAAAAACTCCCGTCTTTGCCTTTTGAAGTAAGGCTCTTGCACTAAAGGGCGCTCGCTGGGCCTCAGTGACTCACCCTCAAAATGAAGGTTTTGGGATGAGTTATTTCCATGATGCCTTTCACATTTACGAAGCACGAATACAGCTCTCTGTAGCTGAACACTTAACTATTATTTCATTTGAGAACCTACAATGGGCCAGACTGTGCCAGGACATTATCTCTTTCAACCCCCACCCAATTCCATGAGGTGGAAATTATCATTACTGCTTTATGGATAAGACTCTCAGGAGTTTGCCCAAGATCATACAGCTAGTAAGTGGTAGAATTTATAATCAAACACAAGCCTACCTTCCCCCAAGGCCAGTCACTTAACTGTTATGTACTCCATGGCCTTCTATTTCCTGCCATGCTGAAACAACATTCGTGTAAGTTTCAGTTGGTGAAGAAGAGTAGGCTGGCCTTTTAGAACAATGGACAGGGGAAGGACATTGCCATTACCCTGCAATCACAGTTTTAAATGGTTTTATATCTAAAACATAGTACAGTAGGTAGTTTTTAAGATTCTCAGGGCCAACAATACTTGCTTTATTGTTTCTTTATATTTTTGGCTTTTAAGTTATTAATAAGCATGACTGTGAACCAATACATGGGAGGAAGCAGTGGAGGGGCTGGTAACACACAGCATGGGAAAGGGTCTGGCACAGTGCCTGCCACACAGGAGGCTCTTTTCCTGAAGCAAGTAAGTAATTACCTACAGTTTGCCAGGGAATGTGTCTTGGGCATTGAGGGCAGATGTATAAAGCCCAGCCCCTGCCTTTAGGTAACTCATGATCTAATAGAAGAGATAGGTATTAAAAAAATAATGCGATGTGACTAATGCAAAGATAGAGCGTATTGACAAGGGCCAGAGCTGAGTCATAAAGGGGAGGAGGACTTGGCCAGGCTGGGGTCTCTAATGAACAGGCACCAGCTTTATCTTGAATGGAAAGGCACATTCATGGAAAGCTGATGTTATTATCAGTATTTGTAACACTTAATGCCAAGCAGTGAATAGAGGGAAAACATCAACTCTATCAAATCTTTGATAGATAAGAAATACGAATTTACTGAGAACCTATTTAGAGATTAGTGAGTTTTCACTTAATGTTGTCCATAGGAAACTTGGACATTTGGAAACTTGACTTTAAGTGAAATGACATATACCGAAACCAATTTTACCATGGGCTAATTGATTCAAACAAGAGTTCAATTCCTATGGCATATTTCTGGTCACAAAAGCACCAACAAACTTCTAAATAATGACCCAAAACACCAAAAAATGAAGGTGAGCTAATATATTAAGAAAGATTAATTAAAAACAAGGTCATGCCCTACTTATTTTAGTTCAGGCTTGAAAGTGGCTCAGGGCAAAGGTGAAACCCATGCTGGACAGGATGCCCTTCCATTGCAGGGCACAGTAGACACCCCACATTCGCTCAGACGGGACAGTGCAGACACTCCAATGCATGCAGGTGCACATCTCTGGGTTGTGGGAGGAAACCGGAGTGTCCGGAGGAAACCCTTGCAGATAGGACAGAGTACACATGCCACAGACAGTGGCCCCAGCTGATTGATTTTTTCCTCATCAACGTATAAGGAAATGACATTGAACTAAATGCCATTATTCAAGGACCTGTTGTATCCATTTACCTGTCCTCTGGTTTGATCACATGGAGATCCTGAGGTGCGTGGCTACTATCACCATCATGTTATCACTGAGAGCAGTGAAGCAGTCAGGGCTCCTCAGGGCAGATTCTGAGCCAGGCCTGTTGCACTTCAGCCCCAGGCCCTGCCGCTCTCTTTGTCTGCAGGTTGCATTAACACTGAAGGAGCAGCAGTTACATGTTTGGGCAGAATGACAACTAGTTAAGTATTCATGTCAATATTTGATGAAACTAAGGCCAACGTTAAATATCACCATCACAGAATATAAAATACTCTCTCCCAATACTTACATTAACTTTCCACCTATTTCTATACTTAACTCTTCAAAACTTTTTAATTAAAAAGTTAGTAATACATATAATTAAATAGTTTTAATACATCAATTGCTTTTGCAATCATCAAGAATTATTGTAGCATGTTGTCCTTACAATAATAGACATAGGTTTTTTCTTCAACTGACTGAGAGCTCAGTTTATGAAGCTCAGACAGTACATCAAGAATATAATATCCTCTCTCTATATAAAAGCCCAATATACAAAGATAATTTTTGTATCTATTATAAACTGCCTGCAGCCCCTCCCCCTGCCGGCCTTGCCCGATTTGCCCCAGTTGGGGTGGGCCGGCCGGAACCCACCCGTGCACGAATTCATGCACTGGGCCTCTAGTCTACTTATATTTGAAAGTAGATGTTCAGTTATTAACAAGAACTTGAAGTTTCCTTGCTTTGTCTTCCCCATGTTATTACCCTGGTTGAATTAGATAGTAACCTACACGACACTGACAATTCCAGAGCCGTCAGAATGGCCTGGGAACTTCACAGTCTGCATCCAGTCTCCCAAAGGCAGTGGCCAGAGCTGAGCTTGAACGGCAGGTGCAGGCCTCATCAGGCGTGTTCCCACTAATAACCTTCTGAATTTCCCTTTAGCTGGCGAATAAGTGCAAGTGAGGCTCTCAAGCATCCTTGGTTGTCAGACCACAAGCTCCACTTGAGACTCAAAACACAGGTAACTAAGGCTCTTCTTTGTTTGGCCTCAGTTTGTTGATGATCAGATGCTTGAAGCATTTTAGCCTTAAGAGAGGTTCTTTTTAATTCCTTTTCTCATAGCCTTCAAGTCTATGCTAATGTTAAATTGATTAAAATGCTTTTATTGAGCAGTTTGTGTTTTTAAAATAAATGTTAATTGTGTTATATTTATTATTAAATCTTTGTATCTATTATAAACTATGCTATGCATATATACTTAAACACACAAACACACATACACACATATAGCCTAGGTCAAATGAACATATAATGTTTGGGAGACTATATCAATGTATGTTATGTCTCCTTAAAACAGAACTCAGAATTTCTAACTTCTATGCTTACCTGGTTTAGTCTTCTTTGGCACCAAAAACTATAATACTCAGCTTGGTGCAGATATTAATGTAAGTATATGTGAAGGATACTCTTACCAGAGACGAAATGAAGATGACAGAAGGATTTATTGAGAATAATTGAGCCCACATCCTGCAATAACTTCTTGTAATAAATTCCTTATCTACTCTCATGGCGTAATTACCATTTATGTTCCGACTCTCCCATCAGTCCCTTCAGCACAGATTTGTTTCCTGAACTTCAGGTACAGAATCCACGCGTGTACTGACATTTCCACTTGGATCTTCTCCTAAATTGAACTCATCTCCCTGCACCTCACCTCATCCCCAACCCCTCCCAGAGTGACCCCACTTAATAGCCTTAAAGGACATCTTCATTTTTCTCTCTTTCTTCCTCAATCCCCTCATTTCATGCTTAATTTATCCCCAAGTTCTGCACATTATTTCCCTTAGTTACTTCTGGAATCTGTCTCCTCTCCATCCGCATGGTTATTCTGGTCCAGGTCAACCCTCACCTGAATGACCATGATAGCCTCCTCGAGACTATCTCCAAGTCACTGTGGATTATGCAAATGACATGGGAGCAGATGTGTAGCATTTAAATAACTTTACTAAACATTTAGAATGTTCAACTGAACAAGATACATTCAGCGCAATCAGCAGTCTAAGTCTTCGGGCTCACTGAGGGTAGGTGTGACGCGAGCATCTGGCCCCTGGGTAGCATGAGTCTGACACACTTTCACTTCCCCGATCTCTGCTCCTTGTCCTCCCCGCTCCCTGGGGTTCGGAATGGAGCTTTTCCACTGACCAGCAAACCTTGGAATGACTATGCTTCAGGTACTCATTTTTTCCACGTTCAGTTTTTATTGAAATTAGCTTTGCTTCTAAATTCAGCATCAGTACTCAATTTTATTTGTGTCTGAATATACCTTTCCTTGATAATTGGTACTGATGGCAAGTAAAAATAGACATATTACCTATTCGGTACCTTACTCAGACTACATAAACTGCTTATTAGGGTTACCAACCTATTTTGGGCCAATTTTCCACCAATGTATTTTTATCCAAGCTTATTGGTGTCTAAATACACTTTGACGTGGTAGGACAATATGGAAACCACAGCGGATAATTAATGACATTATACAGTTTGGAAAGTATTTAAAAATATTTTTTAAATGATGTAACAGCAACAAAATCACCTTTTTGTTATTCTATCTGCTGGTACCTAACGTGGATAGATATTTCAAGAATGGTGAGAATTAAAAAAATTCCATTGGATAAAGCTAGTTCATTATCATAAAAATTATAGTTATATGGCATTGTTCCTGGCAATGTTCTAACTGCTATACAAATATTAACTCATTTAATCCTCACACCAATCCTCTGGAACAGGCACTGTTCTCCTCAGTGTGTGGATGAGGAAGCTGAAGAGACAGCGTAAGCTTTCCTTATGACCCAACCATCCATATATAACCCATCCTGCATCAGACACAGCTCTCTGTGGGGAGGAACAAAGCATTCCCAAACTACAAGTCTATTAGAACTCAACCAACACCTACTACAGACAGTAAATGCTTTGGAGCTGAAGGAAGGAAAACTGAATAAATGTGACCTGTTTCCTTTTCTCCCAGTGCCTTCTACCTTCCTTCCCAGTCCCAGCACTACTCCCTTAGCACATGCTCTTCTTCCAATTCACCGAGCTAATAAAATAACCCATGAGCCTATATTCAACCTCCATTGGCTCTCTTCGCTAATTCACCAATCATGATTTCTTTCATTACAACTCTGATCAAACAGTCTTCAAGTGCTCCCCATTGTGCACAGCAGGCACAGCCAACAGTCCAGGCCTGTTCCAAAACGCCCGACCTCGGGTCCAGTCTTGTCTCCACTCCTCACTCTAGATCAGCTCAAATCATGGCGATTGTCTAAGGCCTATTTTAAATGCCACCTCCTTTAAGATGGCTCTTCTCAACCCCCAATTGGAGGTGCTTTCTCTGTCTTCCTGAGCCTCTCTTGTAGCACTTGACTCTTGTCCGCTGGATTTGAAAACTTTTGGACGAAGCAGTTTCTGTGTCCAGCGCGTCTTTGTTGTCACTGCAACCCAAGTCTCAGTCCTGACTCTCATGCTTTGTCCAAGTGAATGTGTCCAAGGAGGTTTTGACAGCACACACACGTGTGAAACTCAGGTGTTGTTAGGTGCTGAGCTCTTTGTTCCTGATTCGAAGGGAGGGTAGTGATGACAGGAGCTCCAGGGCAGAGTGGGGTTGCGCCTGAGCTGGACTCATCGTATCTGTCAGAGGATCATTAGCAACAAGGTTTCAAGAACTTTCTACTCAGTAGAAAATAATTGACTCAGGTGTTTACATAAGTCAGGAACTGATGCAAGAAGTTCTTATCCTTCCTCAAATGTCTTTGGGTTTTCCTAGGAGAAGAATTGCTGCTCTGACGCTCAGGACCTTGTGACCCAATAGTCTTCAGAAGAGGCCCATTTGGAAGGTTGGTCTCGGTGCTGAGCTGTGTGCAGTCCTTTTCCTGAAGAGCTGTGTGCAGTCCTTAGGAGAAATCCAGTGTTTGTTGCATTATGTGGGAAGCAGAGGGGTGTTTTGGTTGAGATGGGGTGGGGGACAAAGATTGCAGTATTTGCACCCTGACTGCCATTTTCTATCTGAGAAACCTCAGTTTACTGGTTTGTGAGTTGGGGATAGTCTTACTTCCTAAGCTTCTAAGTGGCTCCACTGAGATATTCCAAACAACATCTCGAGACCAGTGCCTGGCACATAGTAGGTGCTCAACAGGTGCCCATAATGGAATAGAAACTGCCTCTGGTGGTCCTTACACCAGCTGTGTTAGATCAGAGGAAGTAATATATTCTTTTGCATAGACAGGTAAACCAAGCCTTAGAGAGACTCAAAGACTCAGTAACTCACCCAAAGCCATACTGCTGGTCAGTAGTAGAATGCCATCCTCTTAGGGTCTCTGAATGTAAAACCCACATTGTTTTTCTCTCCGAAGCTGCCTCCTGGTCTTCACCCAATCTTGGACCCCAAGGACTCTACCCTGCTTAAAATTTTGTTGGAATTCTTAAGAGATAGTTTTACACATGGATATCTGCTATTATATCAGTAAGCTAGCCCAATTTATGCCCTAAAGGAGAAGCCCAAGAAAGTGTACTTATATTACAGAAGGCTCATAGAAACTCCAATATTTATGTTCTTGTTGGGGGATAAGTCAGTTCTAATCTAGGGCAATGAGTCCAAGGCCTTTTTGCAGCTCAATTTTAACAACTATGTAGGACTCAAAATTTGTGAACCTGCATTGTTGCTGCCTTCTGGTATTAATCTCTTATCCTGTAAACAAATGTGGCTGTCCTGTCCTTGGGGTTTCCAGCAATTAACAAATCATGGGGTGTGCAGGAGGTGGCAAGCGCTCCAGATTGGCCTGGGGTTGGGAATTCAGTGGCGACCGAGGCCAGCCTGGCAGATGCCCTAGAGCTTTGGGACCCAGCATCTCACAAGCTCCTAAGTGGCCCAGGGCCTGCCCAGCTCCTCCCGGGCCCCTGGCAACCGCTCCAGTTCAAAAAAGCCCGTTGACTCTTAATCTTTTATTCGGATTTGTATTTATTCTGGTCTTAGGTTTTTGTCTATTGGGCTGTGTATATTCTTGTAAGCTGCCTTGAATCTTTTATAGAGTAAGACTGGGTAGAAATAAATCAATACGTCATAATAAAAGTCACAAACCAATATTAGAAATACCTTTGGCCTTTGGTGTAAAGGTCACTTACTTAGGAGTCTACTACTTATCCTGGAATCTGTGACCTGTCACAGGGACAAAGACTAAAGCCCTGAGCCGGTCACACTGTTGCAGTTATGTAGGACCCTTTTTGCTGGAACAGCTCGAGGAGCCCTCTCTCTGAAGTTGGTCCTGTCTGCTTCCTGACAGTCTCTTGGGCCATCCGCCATCCCTTCCTGGGTCCCCCAGCTCTGTCTAGCCACAGAGGTCACCTTGGCCCCCGCAGGTGCAGGACGGGTGTTTCAGGTCCACGCAATGTGGCCACTTCCGAGTTTATTTTTTCACTTTTTGTTTTCATATTAAAATGTAAGCTTAAGATATGAACTCTGGGAGCAGCCTCAAGTTTTTTAAAAAATAGCTCATTCTTCACAATATTTCCTGCTAGGCTAAGATGGGGTTTTTGGCAAGAACTATTATGAGTAAAACCAACTTTGAGATAATATTGATTTTAGAAATCTGGTGGTTAGAGATTATTTCTGTGGAAAAAGTATGACTTCCAGGCCCTATGAATAAGGCATAATCCACAACGTAAATTGTGGCATATAAATCTCCTGCAATTTGTTAGAGGTTTTTTGATGCATTGAGGAAACACCCTAAAAATCTCTCTAGAAACAGCGGTATTTCACTGTTCCCACTGCATTCTTTGGAGCCGTGAGACATAAATTTGGGACACCCCAGGCCTATAGGAATGATGTAGGGCAGCAAATGGTGTGTGGGCCAGGTCAGACACGGGCCTAGAGTGAGTGGAGGTCTCCCCACTCGCGACCCGCAGTCTCACTTTGATGCCGGATCGAGGTGATAGAGTGGACGGTGGCAAGAGCCTCGGGAGCTGGCTGTGCTTCTGAGGGAACAAAGAGGCCTTGTCCTTCGATATGGCAAATAGTACTGAAACATCTTGCATAAACTGAAAAAAACCCAACCCCACTCTGGTAAGCATTTGGACTCCTTCAAAGGGTTTCTTTTTTTTCTCTCACATACACACATACTACATTATAAAAAATCGTGTGTGGTTTTCCTAAGGGCACAACCAACTAATTACAATTTTAAAAGCTCTGTTGAATTAACAAGAGTCATATTTTGTTTGCTTTGCAGGAAAACCGCTGGGGTTGCTGCTGCTTTGAGATTTTTTGAAAAATCAGCAGTTCTGATACCTTGACCCCTATGATGACTGGCGGCCTTGGGGATGTGGGGGCCACCGCACTTGAACTCAGAGCCTCTGGCTCCAGGGGGCCTCCCAGCGCTCTGGTCCCTGGGGCACAGGCAAGCCTCACACCCCTTCTCTCGCTTCCCCATACCCTATGGTAGTGCACACTTGGGAAGCTACTTCCCTGCTATCTTGAGTTTTTTATGTTTATTTCTTGATTTTAGTCATGGACTAAATGCATTATGTCTGCTACTTCTCAGTTTACTGACTATCATACCAGAGATTTCTTTTAAAACCTGGAGGATGAATTTAGAGGAAGAAAACTGCTTCCAGTTATTAAGTGATGCCTTTCAAAGGGATGATCATATGGCCAGAAAAAATGCAAAGTCTGTTGCCCTTGAACACTTAGTTTCTTATTATTTTGTTTTGTTCTGAAATCAGGTGAATGCAATTGATAAATAGTTTGCTTTCTGGAACATAAGCTTTCTTTGAACCCTGAGGCATGAGGCCTCAGACTTCCTATCTTCCGTTTATTCTGCATTTCCCCCCAACTGCATCAGGTTCTCCCAAGTAGCTGATTCTATTTCAAATGAATGACACACAGTTTCCTAGTGCATTGCCTGCTTTCCTCTGATTGAACATTCATCTGCGTGCAGCCCGCCTGTTTCGAGAGGTAGTGAAGGAGACATCTGTTTACGGGTGGTTTTTACAAACCTTTGGAATGATGTCAACAGTGATGAGAGCTCTTCTCGTGCTGCACTTGTCAACAAGGAAAGATACGTCTTGGGCAGCCTGTGGGAGAACAGTGCTGTGCTTTGCAATGTTGAAGAGACTGGGAAACGGTATTCAAGTAACACAAACACTTTCAAAGCCTCATGATCTCACCTACGCGGAGTCTCACAAGGCTCAGTGGTTGAGAAGAAAGAGCATCCAGAAGTCAAAAGTGCTCATTTTTTGGACACGAGAATGATTTCCTGTGGATCATTCTTGTTCCTGAGCTCCTGCAGCATTTCATCATGGATGTGGAGTAAGGGACATGAGCCCAACAGAAAGGCACAGGGCCTCTCAGGAATGAGCTGGCGCCGTTTCATCAAGAAGAAGAGGCCATGTGGAGCCACACTAACTCCAGTTACACACCTACCACCAAGCTCACCATCAGCTTCTTAACACTTTCCTCACTTCCCATGTCCACATATCTGCTCTGCTGAGATCCGCTAGGATAATGTCTTTATTGTTGGCTGTAAATTGTTCTAGGCTCTTGCTGTCGCAAAAGCAATGGAATGAACTAAGAATAACTTGGTGGCCGCATCACTGAGGGCAGTTTTAACCTGCATTGGCTTTTCGCCATTATTTCTCATATCCACCCAGTGAATCCGTATAGCATGCCAAGAACCACTATTTGAACAATGCCCTTATTTTCACATGGAAGGTAACGAGGAAGTAGAGAAAGAAGAAAATGTTTAATTTAGTTAAGGCCACATGATAATTTAGTGGTTGTGCTGGAAAATGGACCTTCCCTACCCATGGCTCCTACACCATGCTGCATTTCTCCTTTCCTTTGGCCCATGCATTTACCCAAGGTTGGCTTCTCCAGTTCCTGTTATGTGACTATGCTTAAAATGTTTAATTTAGTTTCCTTAGAAAAAAAAGCCCCATGACTGAAGTGTTATATTGCTGTGCTATCTTTAGCTGATGGTATTCATAGAGTCTGGAAAAATACAAGCCAGTGCACGCATTAATACTCAGACCACAGAGCGCTGGCCTTTACTCAAATGCTAAATAAGACACAAGGGTCTGATTTGAAAGCCCGCGTGGAAGGCTTTTCTGTCCTGTGGTGTGCTCTCTCTACCAGGTCTTCTGCGTGATGCACAGTTTTCGTCCCGCTCCCTGCCTCGCGTTGGCTGATAAACTTTCCCCAGGCCCTACCACACATGGAAGAAAGCTCTTAGGCCAAATTTCTTTGCAAAATTAATCCACTGATGACCCTGCACTTAGTGGGTGTGATTTTTTTCCAGAAAAGGTTTAGAGAGGAGACTCTACTTTGAAACTGGATCTCCTTTGAATTTGTAATTAAATTTCTACATTTGCATGAGGAGGCCTCCCCATGCCAGCAGGGCACCTTTCACAGGAGAGCTGAGGGCGGTTTGCATGGTAGAGTTGATGATCACAGTCTAGAGTTACGTGAAGGGGAGCATTTCAGCCCCCTGCTCATCCTGCTGCCTTCCTCCGCACCCTGTGAGGCTTTCCAGCTAGAGCCCTGATGGGCAGATTGCAGATTGGAAAGGAGGCTTTGTACAGCGAAGGAGTCAACCAGCATGACCCATGGAAGTTAAGTCTGGCTAGACTGCGGCTATTGTGATAGATTTTTCCAAGAAGTCATTAGGACTCGAGAGCCTGTATTCCTTCTCCACCCTCTTAATGACGTGATATGGCTTCGCTTACTTGAATTAGGCAGTTGCCATTCCTTAGTAAATGGAGGAAATTAAGCACTGATGTGGCCCTTCCCACTGCCTGGAGAGAAATAAACCTCACAAACTG